ACCTTTCCAGCCAGACACCGCCCTTTGTGATAATGAAGCTAGACTACGGAACAGTGTCACTGCTGTCTGGCCCGGGACTACTCTACGTGGCTGCTACTTCCACTTCAAACAGGCTCTATGGAGGAACTTCGCTCGCTCCGACCTTGTTCCGGAGTATCAGGTGGTTGGATCCGACATCCGGAAAGCCTTCCAACGGATCGGAGCTCTACCTTTCATCCCTCCTGATGACATTCACTACGCAGGGCAGACCTTTAGACCTATCCTCTCCGCAGATATGGATTTCTTAACATTATACTTTGAGTCCACGTGGATGGGAACACCAAACAGACCTGCTCGCTTCGATCACCTGTCCTGGAACCAGTACGATTGCTGTCTAGCTGGTCTCCCACGCTCTTTGAACCTTACAGAAGGATGACAATGGTTTCCGCAGCCTCGTCCAGTGTTCAAATCCTACCATCTGGAAATTCCTTGAAGCCCTCAAACTAGAGCAAGGACTAACAGACTCAACACTGACAACACTCTTGGAGTATTCTAAGACAGGACAACACTTGTTATGCTCCAGCTCTACAAATCCCTGATAAGGTCCAGAGTGGAGTACTGCTGCCCGCTTTGGAATCAAAACAAGATCTATGATGTCCAGTCTATCGAGAGCATACAACGCTAGCTCACCAGACGGATTCTAGGGCTCAGAGACACCGATTAAATGGAATAGACTGAAGGAACTGAAACTTACATCACTGCAAAGACGCCGAGAACGCTACACCATCATACATCTGTGGAAAGTTCTCCAGGGAATATGTCCAAATGTTCTAGATGTACAGTTCAGAGAGAATGCCAGACTGGGAGTTAAAGTTATACTCCCTTCTCTCACCAAACAAGCATCAGCTGCTGCACGCTCCACCTACGACCACTCATTCGCAGTAAGAGCTGGAAGGCTCTGGAATGTTCTCCCCAAAATTGTCAATACTCAAAGGACTTAGACAAGCTTCAAGACATCTCTTGGAAACTTCCTAGACACCCTTCCAGAATCCAGACAAGCCCCTACTTCTGGATACAGTGCAGAAAACTCTATTTCTACAGACATAGCGGAGTTCTACAGTTACTAGCTACGAGTCCACATGGATCGAGATCTCATCAATCCTACCTTCGCTCACTACAAATGGAGTCCACCAAGATGCTGCTTCCCCGGAGTTCAACATAGCTGAAGGATTGCTCCACGGCCTCTACTGCACTCAATGTTATCCTTTTCAAACCTTACTATCTGGAAATTTCTGGACTGTCTGAAGGCGGGGCAGGACATAACATATGTGAAACTCACGAAGAGACTGTGCAGAGAACGTCCTAGCCGAGGAGCAGCAAAGTGGATCTTAAGTATGACGAGAGACTGCAGACTGTTAACTTGATTTTCTTAAAGTTATTGGATGTATGATTTGAATTTATGATATAATGAATTTGTGATTTTAATTTATTAACATGACTTTTAAATTGATAATCTCTCTTGGTGAAGAATATAATAATAATTTGTATAATTTGTAAAGTTCGTAGATTCCTCTACAGGGTCATCGAATAGTCGACCGCCCTTGTTTAACAGTACACTACATTGTAGATGTTCTGAAGGAGTATCCTAAGATTCTTGATCTTTTGGCACAGGCACCCCTCCTCATTTAACCGTCAATCAAGTTTCCTATCATTCGGCTAATTCGACCGAGGAGATCACATAGATCCAATGAATCCTTAGCTACTCCCTAGACTGAGTAAAACTGGGATTCTAACCCTGAACCTGTACAGAAGGCGGAAGCTCTAACAACTAGGCCACCCAGCCATTGAGAAAAATTGGGGGAAATTCAACTAAGCGTCGCTTATTTTCGGTACTGCTTGTCCCCGTTGATTAACCGACGTGTTACCACACTTAGTATTTAGGCTTCATGCAGAGAAAAGCATGTCAAGACGATAATCCCGCTTAGGCCATATTACAATTCAAATACACGATGCAACGAATTTTGAGGCCATGCCTTGGCCTTGTTCATACAAGTTGTATATCCTACTGGAGAACTAAAGCAATATTGGGCCGCATTCTTTGTTGGCACCGCAATCATTTCCTATTCTAACATACATAGCATAATAACATTGAACATAGGTAAGCAAGCAACACCACGATTTTCTCGTAAAATCGGTAATATTTCTGTATTTAATGTAGAGCCGGGCGCTAGATCACAGATATCCCTAGATAATAGATATGCACGATCTTTGATCCATCTAGGGTCGCCCCTGAAATTGGAGATACGCTCTCTAAGGCATGCTACCATCTTATTTCACAATTGCCTGTAGGGAGGTACCCCAAAAATTACCTCTTTAACTAACAGTTGCACTGCCACCAGACAGGAGGGTGTAAAATGCAGCTCTGATTTGAAGAAATCAATATGACTGAAGACTCTTATAAAGCTAATTTGTAGCGGTTGCATCGGCAATCTGTTCAGCCGACAACCACTACATTTATTGATTACGAGCTGTGCTTGTAATCGATAAAGGATTCCAATGTTGTAGTGTCAGAGTCAGTAAATTAACGCATGCTACCCTAAATTAACGCATGCTACCGGCCCTGTACCCCAATACACACGATGTCCTCAGACCTCCTCATTGATTCTCCAGTAAATTTAACGACATTACTTCGGAGTATTCCAACAGCCACATTGTTACACACGTGCAACCAGCCAATTGCAGGTAGCCGAAGGATTAATTTTGGCCAGTGACGGTTAAACTTAAAGTAGTGTGTACCGTACTTCGCCCGAGACTGCTGCAATGTGCAGCTCCTCATTTAACCCTCACTTCCGATGTCCCGAGTATTCGGCTGATAGAAATGTTCCCTTTGTCTATAAGTATAACCACGATCCAATAAATGTAAGCAAAAACTATATTCATCACTTATTTATCGCCATTTAAAAGTTTATAATATTTGACCCTATGTTCTCCAGTCCTAATATATAGTATAACCGGCCCGTATAATATATATAATATAAATATATAATATAACCCGTAAAGAGCGAGTAGTGCGACCGACGTAAGCCTTTCCACAGACACTACATTGGGAAATAACAAATAAATGATGTTGTAACTCTATAAGCAGTAGAAGTTTCCACTTTGCAAGGGAAGCTTTAAGTTCACAAAATTTGCATCGTGGCACATTGCATTCGCTGGTTCATGGTTGGGCCATGTTTAGCTCCTAAAGCAAGTAAAGTTCTTTCAATTTGACGAGGCGAGATTTTAACAACATAACTCGCAGGACTGCTGTATTTAGCACACGCGCGACTGTAATGATATGAAAATGAGCCGTCCGCTCATGCCTATATATAGTCATCGTGTCCATAGATACGTGAAGCGACGCGTATCCATAGATACGTGTAGCAACGCGCAAGTTATTCTATTATGAATTCATTTTGTTCGGCGCGCGGCGTAAGAATTTATTTTGACCATATAAAAGTTCATAACTTTTTATGAGAACCTGTGCTGAGTTTTTTGAGAAGGGCGACATTCGATTGAGCATTTTTGCTATCCAATGGTATAAAATGTAGCACCAGCGCAATTATCGCTCAATAATCTTATTTCTACGCGCAGCTCTCAGCGGGCAGTAGTGCATCGCGCTACAAACGCGTACATAGCCACATGAGTCCATAGTATGCACCGCTTGATTCACGGTGTCAATCCTTCGCATCTCGCCGATCTGCATACGGTTGCGAGAAGAATTATTTGATGCGCTGCGCGACCCAGTTAAGTAGTGCATCGCGCTACAAATGCGCCGCGTACTGCGTGACGCGCTTGTTTCACTGCGGTCACGCGCTACTGCAAGCGAAAGGGCTTTGGTTAGAGCAAGTATTGTGTAAAATTTGACATTCTTAAAAATAAATGGTACTCAAATAATTGAAAAATCTGACCAGGTTCAATTTTTTTTTTCGTGCTTATGCCTTACATTCATTTTGTCATACGTTGTATGACCCGCCGCGCACGAAGTGCGCGGCTCCCCCTGTATCGTCAGGACGACCGTGGGTGTCAGGACGACCGTGGGTGTCACAACGTCGTGGTTGTCACAACGTGATACAACATTCATTCGATCATTTAATAAATGCGTTCAAGTTTAGCTTTGTAGCGATATACATTACCGGGCCGGGCTTTGCATCAACATGAACAATCAAATATTATTTTTTGCCTCCACCTTACTTTTTATATAATTATAATTTTTTAATTCAATTACATACTCCCTATAGACCAACGAATATTCTTTAAAGTTTGTCTATTAACCTACAAATCAGTTCACGGTACTGCACCTGATTACCTCAAAGCACTACTGGATTTGGATGTAGCGGATAAAGAACTCTCAAACACCATGACCATGACCAGGTCGAAGAGACCTGGTGACCATCTCATGCTCAAGGTACCAAAGAATAAAAAGTCCAAAGTTGATGACAGACGTTTCTCAAGCCATGCACCGATTGCATGGAACTCTCTTCCACTGATGTTGAGATGTATTACTGATACCAACTGCTTCAAGCGAATGTTAAAGGACCATTTGTATAATCAGTTTTGATGTTTTTTCTTTCCATTTGTCTTCATTTTGCAAGACACCTTGGCTTTTATCTCTTACCGCACTCTATTTTATGTCTAAGTTCTCTACCTTTCTTTGTCACTGTACTAACCTTTATTATACCTACATGTATTGTATGGTCTCTGCTTCTTTTTAGTTTAGTGGGGTTTAAAATAAAAGATGTTTTAATTTTGTCTTGGTCTTATATTAATATTACGTTATACTCTTGTTCATTTTTACACATTTGCTCACATCACTCACAGTCAGCCGCTCTGACATGGTTAACCACCTTCCTTGTGTTGTTGGTTAATCATATGAGCGGGATATAAATACCTCATTTCATTTCATTTTGTATAATTTTCTAATTCAATTTTGTACATAATTCATTAACACGAATAAAAACCTTTTTTGTGCGTATAGTACTACATCATTGCGTTATAATATTTTTACAATTCAACAAAATACATTAATCATGGACTGCTACACTCCATATATAAAAAGTTGAGTTGCACACTAATTTTCTTATTTTGTTTAAAATACTTTCAACGTAACGTCTGTCGATGTCTCGATACCATATTTGTTGAATCTGCATCGATAAGTCCCACTGTCTCTTTCTGTTGGGCTTTTAAAGTAAAGCCGATATGTACCTGTAGATTATGTAAATTTGTGAACTACTGGTTAAATTGTCTAAATTGTAGAAGGCCCCAATTAATAGCTTATGCATTATGACAATCATTCGATTTTAAGTTTTATGCTGGGCGCTCGATTAATGATACTTAGTTGGTAATGTCATTTAAAAACCTTTATTTTTATTGAACCCAAATGTTTCTCCATGACTATCTTCTGACAATTTTACTGGAGCTTGACCAGGAGTGATCTTATACCAATCAACATTATTTGGATCAGATTGATTTGGCAGGTTGATATCGATGACCTTCAGATCACATATTATCCAAAAGCTTTTTCCCGATTCTTGATCTTTTGTCAGTTCTTTCCTGTTCTTTATTCTTACTGTTGCTGAACCCTCTGAATAAAATTTCAATTGATATTTAATTTTGAATATTCATAATAGTATTATGATAGTTTCTAATAAATGGAAATGTACAACCCCACATCATGTGTGGATGAATTCCCCTACATAAAGGTTACAATAGAAAGGGAAGTCGTCACTTCATTTACACTTTGTATTGAACTTACCAATCATTTCCACGATAACCGTAGCATTGCAACGTTCTTTGCTTTCTTTAGTTTGGAATTTAACATGAGCTTCATAAAGTCCTGCGTCCTCTGGTTGGAAAGAATTGATCTCAAAACCTCGTACCATTACATCCTTACCATCTGTTGCTGGATCAAAATGATTTCCATCTTTTAACCAACTCACTGTTCCATGTTTTTGGAAGGCACTTTTCTTTATTCCACTGAACTGTTTTAAACTAATGTGAATTTTTACTAAGTTATATATAATATTTATTTTTTTACTTGTATTTTACTTCTATTTAAGAACACATTATATCATACTGTCTGTCTATCGAAAGAAACATTCGTTTGACAATTTGAATCTCCAATAACCAAATGAATCAAATTTCGATGTTGCATTATTTATCCTCAGAACTGGTTTGACTGCTATTACTACTAACCCAGACGGTGAATGATGAGTCTATTACCGCTCTTATATGATCAGGTTCCAATTCAATACTGCAGTCATTCCATATATCTGTGGAATTAGCATTGAGAACTTCAATTAGCCAGGAAAAAAGTTACTCTATTTAAAAATCGCCTCAGATGTTAGATAGAAAGTATTCACTTTTGATCTAATTATTAAAAATACTCTAATAACCTTTGTCGACACAAGTTTCCGAATCAGAGTCTTTGACAAAACCAGATTTGCAATGACAGCGGTATCCTCCAAGGGTATTCTCACAGTCCTCAGTAGGAGAGCAATTATCTTCAGTTGCACATTCATTCACATCAACACACTGTTTATTTTTTGGTATATATCCTGAATCACAATGGCATTTTCCTGCTTCATCTTGGACAAAAGCTTCCTGACAGTTACATGTGTAGCCCCCTGCAACAGTTGCAATGCTTGAGAATGTTCTTGAAGATAATATTAACTTAAATTCTGATCAAGGCAATCAAAATTCAAATAAGTTGTTCAAAATTCTATACTCAGTACGAAAAATATCATGTTTTGTTAAAACCTTCAATATTGGAGCAAACATATACATCTTCATCACATGGATTTGTCAAACACTCATCAATGTCTTCACATCTGCCACTCACCAACTTGTATCCTGCCAAACACTGACACCTAAACATTAATTACATATTTTATTTGATACAAATATTTGGTTGTTGTGCTTTAATTCCTGCAGTTTATTGTACTATTTTCATGAAAATTAGGCAGTTCTGTCACATCAGTAAATTGAGTCATATAACCTGTAAGATCCAGGAATGTTAATGCATTCTCCATTGCCACATGGCATCTCTGCGCATTCATCCACATCTACACAGGTCTCACTATTAAAATGATACCCTTCGTTGCAGACACATTTGAAATCAGTTCCATTGATAGCAACACATTCACCTTTTCCGCACCTGCCGCATTATGTTATTATTCCTGTGTGACTCAAAATTATTTTGAACCCTAACTCATCATAGCATAACTCACTAGTAGGTATGTGAAAGTTCAATAGCTTTATCATATCAATTGGTCTTACCTCAAAGGTTGTTCCTCACATGCACCCGGAATAACTTCGTTACACTGTGGTAAGCCATTTTTCCCAAGTGTACACTCCTCATTGTCATCACACCTCATTTCTTCACATGTGGGGCAGGCTCTTTTAATGTATTCATCTCTGAAACGGGTTTTTTTTCCTGTCAGCAATGAAGTGTTAGATGTAATAATCATACGTGTGTTATGTGTAGCATTCTCCTAGCATACAGAAGAAGAATGGAATCATTGTTCTTTCCTAATATTGGTTTCTCCAAAGGCATTATTACCCAGTTAGTTTTTGACAGATCATGGAAAGACGACACCAGGATCCCGGTTCGTTTACGCAATCTTTCACTGAACACACTCCATCCTCAAGTCTGATGTTTCCTATACTGTCGATCTTAGACCTGATTTTTGTAAAAATTATTTTCGACCAGCTAGTCTCTCACAGACTGATCAGACACTCAAAATAATTTTGTTGATAGGTAAACTTTCAACTTGAGTATTTCGAAATAGTCTTAAATACTAACCTGATTTGCTTTGAAGTCAACTCCATCCAAGGACTATAGATGTTACAACTATTTGGAACATAACCTTTCGGACACTCAAGGCTTGGGCTCTGGCTGCTTTGATAACGGTACTCGTAATTTCCTATCATCAGCTCTGAGCATAAGTCTTTTGCAATGTTTATTGGTCCACAGTATGCTATCGCCTAAAAATCAACAACATGAGATATATTTCGTACTATCCAACAGTCTAATCTCTAAGTAATTGCAACAAGGACTATTGTATAACCTTTTCTTAAAGATATGTACTGCAATAACCTGGATGGAATGAGGTGATTTTCTTGAACTCTGAGCAACACAGGAGGCCCCTGAATTCTCGATCACAACTCCGTCACTTGCAGTTGGAACTCCGTAAGTCATACACCTCATCACCTTCAATCCTAGATGTGACACCGTATAAGTTTCCAATGATTCGTGGTAAATAGTTGAGTAAATTATTTATCTTACAGATCAGAAGATTAATTAATGCTCCATTTCCAAAATAATAATCGTATAAGTGAGAATAAAATACCATTTGGACATTCTGCTGTTGATTTAGCATCTACTGCTGATATCGTGTCACCAACAACGATCGTCCCTAGTCGAATAAAAGTAACATAAATTATAAGATAGCAAGGGCCAAGGATGTTGCCTGGTTTTTATTCGTTCTGAACTGAACCCCTTATAGAATGTTAGAATATTGAGCTTAAATAATTGAATTCTTGGAAAAAGACTAGTTAGCTTACAGATAGTATTCTTAATGACACATGTTTTGAGATTGCTAGCTGTGTCAGTATGAAGTTGGTATCCCTCCTTGCAAATACAAGTGTAATCCTTATCTCCAACTGGTTCACATTCTCCGTATGTGCCACATCTGAACAATGAAATGTTAGAAATAAACAAGAGGGAAATGATGGGGAAGTTGTTACATCGACAGCTATACTGGATTTTGATTGGTCGATGATCGAGCTGATTGTACCATCTGCAGGCACTCTTACCAACAATCAACATCTAGCCTTAAGGATAAAAACTAACCTATTATTGTCCTGACATCCAGTTTGTTTGGTCTTACAGGAAGGTTTATCATCCTCCATGACACATTCCTCGTCTTTATCACAGTGATATCCTTTGCAATCTGGACAGTGTGCTGCAACATACTCTTCTCTGGTGTGAATGTTTTCAATTAAGTGTTGGTGGAGCTATTCAATTAGGAATGAAAAATTCAAAAATTGTTTTCATTTCATTTCATTTCATTTCATGGTTTCACATAGCATGAGAAATAACTGTAAATAACTGACTTACAGGTCATTAAGCTGGCATATGGCAGTAGTAGTGCAGTATTTTACCCCACAGTTTGGTAAAGTACAGGTGTTGTCACTGAATGATACCTGACCAGTGTGAGTCAGTTTTCTTTTCGCTGCAGCACTGAGATGTTAGGATTTTAAATTCAAAACATCGACTTAACATAATATTATTCTATAAAATTATTACAGTATTACTGACTACTGTATAGCATTGCTCGAAACAAGACCAAAGAACCTGTGATATTTGACAAACAAAAACTTTCGAGTTGTGGAAGAACACAAGAAAATAGAACAAGTATGAATTATGGTTAACCTGATGCCAGGGGACCACCAGCTGTGGTACAAGCATCCTACCATCTCATATCCACCCTGGCAGGAAGAGGATGGAGAGACAGCACTGTTCACTGAGTAGGTTAGAGATGGTATCTTGGCACCGTTACATGGGTCCCTCTCCTCCACTCCTAGAGTGCATATCCCTCTTGCTTTTACAGCCTTTCCTATGTAACTGTTAAATCCCGTACAAGTTCCGGCTCCATCATTGTCCACAAGAAGACCATCACTCTTATCGGGAACGTTTCCAACAGTGATCGAGCAGCTTTTGACTTTGTAGCCAGCAGGGCATTTTGCTATTGATTTTTGGTCGTCACCAGGTCCTGCCGTATCTCCATCAACCACTCTGTCATCTCCCTCTGCGGATTTGAGAATAATCATGAAGTTGATTGAAAAATTGAAATCAATGCAAACATTTGGTGTTATGTAAGTTGTTACATATATTAAACATGATATACCTGTCTTTTGATTTAAGCTAAAATAAACTCACGGTCTATGGGATTAGGAAGACCAAGAACTTTGACTTCACACAAGGTTAGATATGTTGAAGGGTTCACCACTTTAACATGGGAAGCAATTGTGTCACATTCTATCACATACTCGTTTTGCCCTGCTTTGTAAGTCACAATTCCACAAAGCTTGTCTCCTGCATAAACCTGTAACACCAAGTTACAAGGGAGACGTTTTAAGTGAAAGGAATGAAGATCTGCAATCTGCATGGTCTGATTTATGGGTTTAATTTGGGCTTTAAGTAAGTGTTTTTTAGAGAATATGTACAGTTATACTGTACCTCTATTCCGTTGAGCCTCTCTGCACAGCAATCAACTCGGTTGTGGATAAGAATCTTTTTGACATGGTAAAAGTTGAGCAGGTCTACGTCCCACCAGCCTGGCCCAGCAGTGTGAGTACAGGATAGTCCCCAGTAGTGAGAGTCAGTGTTTCCATCAACTGCGCGCGCACTTGCTCCATCCCAACCAGTGCTGCTCTGACTGGTAGGCTTCTTCAGTGCCAAGTTGACCAGCGTGTTTTCAGCTGAAATACCGGAATAGTCATTATTTATTACATGACATTGTTTCTAAAGTGAAAATATATAAATAAATATATAAAAATATATAAATTAATTATAATTGAATATTACTTTTAAAGGAGTGTGAATAATATGTGCTTGTAGCTTGTTACAGAGTATGTTATAAGTGGCTACAAATAGTTAGTTCCAACCGTACCTTCCTTTCTGGGGTCAGACATGACCTTGACTTCACATAACGTAAGATATTGCCTTGGTGCAGCAACTATTCTCACGTTTGATCCTGCTACTCCCTCAGTGTCACAGTACACCTTGTAGGTCCTCAGTCCTGCTTCATATTCAACTGTTCCACAGAGAGTTTCATCGACAAACACCTGCATTAATTTCATAACTATATTGCTCTTCCACGTATTATTGCACCAAGTGTTTCGCTTTTAGAAATTTAGAAATTTAAAAGTTGAAGTTATCACATGACGTTCTTCTCGAGCCCATAATCATAAAACATTGAACAGAAAACAACTTTCTTGGATCTAAAAATGAGAGGCAGATTTTCAATGAGAAACCTACCTTAGCACCATTGATTCGCTCCTGGCAGCAGTCTTCTCTGTTGTAGATGATGACATGGTCTATCACTTTCGCAGACTCAAACTTAAGGTTCCACCAACCATCCTCTAAATCGCCATTGTGTGAACAGGAGTTACTGTCAAGAATTTGATTTTAGTTATGTTCATATCATTTTCTAAATAAACTAATGTCCCCCAGAGTCTTCTTGGTAGACCGAGAACAAGTCAATTGTTACTTCTACAAACGCCCTCATATATCATCACAATGAGTTCACGATTAAATCATAATATTATTCTCACTGCCAATAATCGCTGTCTTCATTTCCATCAACAGCTCTGTTAGCCTTGCCATTCCAACCAGTGCTATCTTGTGTTGCTTTACCGTTAACTGCTATGTTGTCAAACTCATCTTCTTCATCCACTGTCTCGTAACCTTGTTTGGGGTAAAATCATTCTTAACTTTAAGCCTTTTATCAAATAGTTATAAAATTCAAATTTTAACTTATTAAAAATGTATGGTTCAAGATACTATCCATATCTCTTTTCGATTAACGGTAAATTTACCTAATTATCAGTAATTAATAATTACTAAATGGCTTACCTATAACTTCTACCTCACACAGAGTTAAATATTGTCTTGATGTCCTGATCTTCACTGAACTTCCTTTCTTTTTACACGAGATAGAATACACTAGAACTTCTGCTTGAGCTGTTATTGTTCCACACAGTTCTTCATCGATATACACCTAAAGGAAGCTGAGGTAAAGAGCAAGATCATAGACTTACTTCAATATACGCTGGAATAGACGTCTTAGAAACATTATATTATTTGCATAGAAAAGACAGTATTGATTATTGAATGGCTAAGTTAAACAAAATGAAAACCTTTGCCCCATTAATCCTGTCTGAGCAACAGTCCAGCCTATTGTAGACCACCACTCTGTCCACGAAATGCTCCCTCTTCAAGTCCAAGTTCCACCACTCGAGAGTAAGAGTGTTAAGTGTGTGTGTACAAGTTCCCTCTGGCCACCTTCCATCCACTCTGTTGTCAGTAGCCCTGTTGGCGTCCCCGCCCCAGCCAATACTGGACTGGGTTGCTGGCTTGTTCAGGCCTATGTTTGCCATCGGTCCTGCCAATAAGTACTCATTATCTATAACTAATCTATAAGTAGGTTTGTAGGTTCCTTGAAGTACTTAATAGCCTAAAGATCTTACTGTAGGCTTCATATATCCGTATTTTATATCAACTTGGTTACTGGGGAATATGTTAGTAACAAAATATAGTTGAACTAACGAATCGTTGTATCTGTACAGACAGTTTTCTTTGAAAAGTCATGGAAATTGCGAATTAGGCTTTGTGGACTGGTCCATTTACATATCATCAGCTCAGTAATTACCATCTTCAGATCTTTTACCGTACACTCGGACCTCACAGAGAGTTAACATATTGTAAGGTTGTCTAATAGTCACGTGGTCTGCAACAAGTCCTTCACACTCTATCTTAAACTTGGTCTCACTAGCTAAGTATTTCACAGTTCCACAGTACACACTTCCTGCGTATACCTGACAGAAGGGATTATGAAGCTATGAGCTAATCTTTCAAAGTAAAACATGATCATGTCAATAACTATGATTATCAAATTTCGGCTGAGCCTATTAAGTTGGTAAGTTTGAAAACTATAACGCTAAAGATCGTATAAATTGATTAAATTACCATTGCACCGTTGATCCTCTCTGCACAGCAGTCTTGTCTATTGTGTATGATAACGTGCTTGATCGCATAGTTATCCTTGAAATTTACTCTCCACCAGTTACCTTTCATTTCAGCTGTATGTGTACATGAATTGCTGAAAAGCAGTAGTAAGTACTCTTCCCCTTACTAATGGCGGATTTGTTCAGATAGATTGGCCATTTACTAGATTTGTATTAATAGTAGAACATAAATTATGCAATCGCCATCTCATTAGATAGAGATAAAGTGAGTGGTGTTACTCACTGGAAATAGTGTCCGTCAGTGTTTCCATCAACAGCACGAGAACTGCTCCCTGAGAAGCCAGTTGAGCTTTGCTCTGTTGATGCTCCCACAGATATCAGACTCATGTCATCTGAAGTTACGTTTTTAATAACTTTTTGTCAATCCAATCTTTTGTGCTTGGAAAAGGCTATTTGAATTAGCTTTATTCAAGAAAAATTGAAAAGTGAGTTTCCAATCGCAATATTGAATCACCTTCACAATGGTCGAGTGTAAGATAGAAAGCGTTGTTTGCCGAGTTCACTCCCCAAACAAAGTCTCCATAAGTATCAATCTGAGCAAGTTTCCCAGGGACATGAACCCAATGTGAGCCTGCAGGAGCTGAGGATGTGATCCCCGCCCTGTAGAAGATATCGTCATTGCTGTTCACACCAAAGACTACATTCTTACCAGATGAAATCCATTTCAGCTTCCCTCCAATGTGCTGCCACTGAAGATGGTTTTAAGTTAATCTTTGAGAAATAAATTTGATTTAAAATTTTAAATTTAGTTAAACAAATAGTTTTTGCCAGTTTATATTTTCACTTTGGTAAACGTCATATATAAAATCAAAGTTAAGATTGAAATAAGGCGATCATACCCCAGTTCCCTGAGAATCAGGATCTCCGTAAGTACCAGTTCTGTAGAAGATATCATCGTTAGTATTGACTCCCCACACTCCTGACTGTCCTACACTCACTACTTTCAGTCCACCTGAGACTCTCTCCCAAGTATTTCCTGTTCTTCTGTAGATATTATCCCCACTATTTACTCCCCAAACATGGTCATTATCACTCACTGAGACCTGTTAATGGGAAATTTTTCAACAAAAGTCAGATCCAAATTATGATTTTTATGAAATCTAGTTTTACAGAGTTTGATTTAAGAAAATATAATTATACATAATTACCGAGTATATATTCGATTTTGAACATATTATTATTTAACCTGCTTGAGTCTTCCACCGATGTTAACCCAGTTGCCTGACCCTATTTTTCTGTAAATAAGATGAGCTGAGTTGACTCCCCATATCTCAGATCCTCCCACAGAAATATCAGTCAGTACTCCAGGGAAAATTATCCAATTTTCTGCAGATCTATCAAATATTTGGTCACAAATTGCAAAGGTGTTTAATACTATTGACATTAATAAAATCCTAAATGTAAGTCGTTGAATAACGAAACTAAAACGATACATGTGGAAGTGTTTTACGGAACCTGTAGTAGATGTGACCAGCTTTATCCAGGCCCCAGGTACCAGCTCCTCCGTGGGCTACTTTTGTTAACTGGTCCCTCTCTTCCTTCCACCCAGACAGACGTGCAGCTTCTAACGAGGTATTATTATGATGTTTTACTTAGATAAGATAAATATTGTTCCCTAATCCCTAATCAAGTATTAGATCATAATGGAGGCTCGCACTAAGATAGATTTTGGCTGAGTTAGGCAATTGGCTAGATTTTGATTTTATTTGTAGCATACTTGCTGGTTCTTTGAATGACAATTGATAGGCGTTTCTTCCAGAGTTGACCCCTAGAACAGTCGTTCCATAAGTGTCGATCTGGGAAAGCTTCCCTCCGAGATGGGTCCAGCCTGTTCCTGATGGAGTGCCTGCTGAAATGCCATGTCTGAAGAAGATATCATCGTTACTGTTGACTCCCAGTACAATGCCTTTCCCAGATGATATCCATTTCAACTTTCCTCCGATATGTTCCCACTGCAATGATGTATGAAAATTAATGTGATCACTACGAATAAAGAATAAAAATAACATGTATTATGATAGTTCATCTAGTATAATAATATATGCATTCATATTCTGAGCACTGTTTGAGATAAAAGTTCTCGAACCGTTGGGCAATATTAAAAACGATTTTGACCTACCCCAGTTCCCTGAGAATCAGGATCTCCGTAAGTACCAGTTCTGTAGAAGATATCATCGTTAGTATTGACTCCCCACACTCCTGACTGTCCTACACTCACTACTTTCAGTCCACCTGAGACTCTCTCCCAAGTATTTCCTGTTCTTCTGTAGATATTATCCCCACTATTTACTCCCCAAACATGATCATTATCACTAACTGAGATCTGCTTCAAGCCACCTGAAATTCTGGCCCAGTTGCTGTTAGCTGTCCTCTTCCAGATCTGGTCGGCCCTGTTGACTCCCCAAATTTCCGTTCCTCCCACAGATATGTCAGTTAATCCACCAGGGTATTGCTGCCAGCTTTCATCCTCTCTGCAAGATACACGGAGATTAAGTATCGAGCAAAAATTCTACAATTGAGAACCATTAATGTAGATCTATATTCGAATGCTTTGCGACTTAACATTTTTCAGTTGATCCTTGAAAAAGAATGTAGGCTGGAGCAATCTAAGCAGAAATAGTTCATATACTTTCTGTAAACCTGAAGAATATTTTGTCGTCGTCAGCAACAGCCCACATTCCAGCTTTTCCAGATGCTATGCGCTTCAAATTCACTTTTGCTTTTGCACTTTTGTGGGACCAATTAGACAGACTAAATGATGAACCTGCAAAATATTGCTTTTATACTTCTGCTCTATAGTCCAAACAAATTCGATACACTTTTAATATAAATTTAAGATAATTTTAAGGTTATCAGAACATAGGTCACATACCACTTTGAACTTGTAATCTGTGATTACACAAGAAGTTATCATTCCATGTATGTGGGTCTGCAGGTTCAAGCCACTGGATGCACTCTTTTCCCCCTACAGGTCCCGCACTACTCCACTGGAAAGTGTAAGGAGAGTCCGGAGGAGAACAGAGGTAGTTATCGGCCCAAGTGTGAGGATCCGCTGTCTCCAAGATACGTGTACACTTCTGTCCAGCAATAGGTCCTGCCATGGACCATCTCAAACCAGGATCAGCTTTGTTGCTTCTCCAGCAGAAGAAGTTGTCTGTCCACGTGTGACCTGCTGGTTCAGCTAGCTCTAGTATTCTTGTGCAGGTGTATCCAGCTGGAATACCAGCAAAGCTCCATTTGAAGTCTTCTGGCCATGATGGAAGAGGTTTTGTAACTGAAAGGAGATAATGATACATAAATCAGGTCCATTAATTAGCTATTAATGTTATCAGTTCTGGTACTTTTTGATAATGCCAGTCATATATACTTTACAATGAGGAATCGTAATTTGCATTTGTCACTTTGTCAGCAACATGAACAGCTTGAGAAAATGTGTTCTAACCCTATCAAAAAATAAAAAAGGCATGGACTTTTTTTTCTAGGTACTTTTGGACAAAAACCTTTTGGTTCCGATAATCTTTGATTGCACAAGAAGTTATCATTCCATGTATGTGGGTCTGCAGGTTCAAGCCACTGGATGCACTCTTTTCCCCCTACAGGTCCCGCACTACTCCACTGGAAAGTGTAAGGAGAGTCCGGAGGAGCACAGAGGTAGTTATCAGCCCAAGTGTGAGGGTCCGCTGTCTCCAAGATACGTGTACATTTCTGTCCAGCAATAGGTCCTGCCATGGACCATCTCAAACCAGGATCAGCTTTGTTGCTTCTCCAGCAGAAGAAGTTGTCTGTCCATGTGTGACCTGCTGGTTCAGCTAGCTCCAGTATTCTTGTGCAGGTGTATCCAGCTGGAATACCAGCAAAGCTCCATTTGAAGTCTTCTGGCCAGGATGGAAGAGGATGTTCTGAAATTATTTTAAATTTTTATCTGACACAATTATGATTTTATGAGCTCCAGAACATGAGAAAAATAAAAGTGTACAACAAAATGGCAAAAATGAGTGATATACTGCTCAGATATTAAGGACTTTCGAACGACTGCTATCATTTATGCATCCATTTGATACCATTACGATTTACTTGAAGAATTTTGGTATCCACAGAAAACATCATCAACTGAAAAAATACCATATAATCTTTTGATGTCCAACGAGAAAGCATTCCTAGCTGAGTTAGCGCCCCAAACTTCGTCTCCATTACTGTCTATCTGAGATAACTTTCCTGGTACTTTAACCCAATTAGTGCCTGCTGGGTTGGACGACGAGATTCCTGCTCTATAGAAAATATCATCATTGCTGTTCACTCCAAAGACCACATCATTTCCAGATGAAATCCACTTCAGTTTCCCAGCGATGTGTTGCCACTGTAGTAATATATTAATTATTATATTATATTATAGATATAAGATTTCATTTTTCAAGTGCAAACCAAATGTTGGTTTGCATTATGCGAAAAGTGGGCGCCACCCCCTCTTCTTTGAAGCCTGCAAACTTGCAATAGATTTCTATAGTCGTCTTGAAAGCACTGAAAATGAACTTCTCTCCGCTGCATTTCACGAGCAGATTATGCTGGGCCTTCCTTGGTACACCAACATCTCTAATCTTCTCACCAAATATAACTTCCCCCACTCATCCTCTTCAAAATCCAAGCTCTCTACCCAAATCAGTCACAACATGAGGGAAGAATTTGTGGATACCTGGAAATCTGCCAAGGCATCCTCACCTAAATTAGAATTCTACAATCAAATTAAACATGATTTTGAACCAGAAACATACTTAGGAGTGGTTAAGATCCCCGATGCTCGGAAAAGCTTAACAAGGTTTCGTATTAGCTGCCACAATCTTTACATTGAGAGGGGCCGTTACGAAACCCCCCTAGTACCAAGAGAACATCGATGGTGCACTTTTTGCTTTCTCAGCAAGGGGCTTAAGCCTATTGAGGACGAAATTCATGTTCTAACTGACTGTTTACTCTACTCCTCAGTTAGAGAAAAATTTAACTTCCATCCCAAAAATATTACTGACCTAGCCGGTTTGCTATCCGATAAAACACTAGACCCTACAAAATTTACTGCCACAGCAAGAGCAATCCATTCAATTCTCTCTGTGAACGAACATTTTACAGCCTACTATAAGAGCCCAGATTTCCACTCAAATACTGGCCAATGCATAATGCTATAGGACCTCAAAAATAGTATTATAAAACATTTCTATTTTATCCCTACACATTTGTAAATAACTAGAATTGTGTAACCTTAAATTATTTCAGAATTATAACTATTGTGAATTCAATAAAATAATTATCACTTTTGTATCCTTGTATCCTTGTATCCTTGTATCCTTGTATCCTTATGCAGCTTTTGTTCGTACTCAAATAGTGGCATACAAACTTCAAGGGATTGAATAAAAAAGAAGCACCTACCCCTGTACCCTGAGAATCAGGATCTCCGTAAGTACCGGTCCTGTAGAAGATATCATCGTTAGTATTGACTCCCCACACTCCTGACTGTCCTACACTTACTACTTTCAGTCCACCTGAGACTCTCTCCCAAGTATTTCCTGTTCTTCTGTAGATATTATCCCCACTATTTACTCCCCAAACATGATCCTTGTCACTTACAGAGACCTGAGAGAGAAGAAACAATTATGCTCAAATTATCATCATCAGAACAACGAACAATAATAACAAACAACAAACACAATGGTCGATCTACATAATCAGCAGAAAATAATCGACAATTAATAATGAAACGCGAAGGAAACTATCAGAATATGATCTCAATTTTCTCTTTGGTAATTACATTAACGAGCACAAACCTGCTTCAGTCTTCCACCGATGTTAACCCAGTTGCCTGACACTATCTTTCTGTAGATAAGACCTGAGTTGACTCCCCATATCTGGGATCCTCCAACAGATATGTCAGTCAGTGCCCCTGGATATTTGATCCACTGCTCTCCTGATCTGTTAGTTCCAATGTTAAAATCTTGGAAAAACAACTAGTAGTGTTTGGCCAGCGAAATTATTAGTCTTTGAGTTTAAAAAAATGCAAATTTTGAAAACCGAAACGAAAGTGAAATGCATATCTAACATTGAACAGGTATTCATTATACCGGTAGTGAATGAGCTTGTTGGAGTCTATTGCCCAGACTCCAGCTTTTCCAGTTGCTACTCTTGCAAACTTTGGAGCATTGTTTATGTGGCCCCACCCACCCATCTGTTGTTTTCCTGCCAAGTAGGTTGTTAGCATAATTTCATAATTGAAATTTAGACAAAAGGGCTGGAAATTAAATACGTTTTGGAACTAATTCTGTCCAACCAGCAGCACCAACTAAACAAGATAACAAAATATCACCCTTATAACCTGGTGTCCGTGTAATGGTAGATGAGAAGGTGTTGTGGACAGAGTTAGCACCGACTACCACATTCTCGTGGGTGTCTATTTGTGAGAGTTTCCCCTGTACTCTAGCCCATTGAGTTCCTGCAGGAGAGGTGGGGGAGATTCCTGCTCTGTAGAAAATATCATCATTTCTGTTCACTCCAAATACTATGTCGTTTCCAGATGATATCCATTTCAGTTTTCCACCGATATGTTGCCACTGAAAATGATTTTGTTGAGAATAATCTTCAAGAGCATGGAAAAAAAAGATAAAATCATGCACTGCTGCCATTACAATTAACCATTCTAATGCATTAAAAAACAATGTTATGTTCCAAGATCATAATATCTGTTTTGACCTACCCCAGTTCCCTGAGAGTCAGGATCTCCGTAAGTACCAGTTCTGTAGAAGATATCATCGTTAGTATTGACTCCCCACACTCCTGACTGTCCTACACTCACTACTTTCAGTCCACCTGAGACTCTCTCCCAAGTATTTCCTGTTCTTCTGTAGATATTATACCCACTATTGACTCCCCAGACGTGATCCTTGTCACTCACTGAGACCTGAAAAATAAGCTGATGACTCTCTGAATATTAGGTTATTACCTTTAAACAAATTTAAACTATTAATATTATAACTATAACTAGAAGAAATTCGTAACAACTGACCTGAACAAGACGGCCACCAACTTCTTTCCACTCGGTTGAACCTTTCAATTTCTGGTATATCTTCTGTCCTAGACCAATGCCCCAGATTTGAGACTTTCCGACCGAAACATCCGTCAATTCCATTGCTTGATCGCTTGTCCAAATGTCACCTTCCCTGGAAGTAATGGCATGTTCTTCAAGTATCCTTATAAAATTGCTTCTTTCTTGTACGATACCTTTATTAACAGAAATAGCAAGCAAAAGACGTGTTCTTAAAAACTAAGCATGTATTATGCATACCTACATATTATTTAGAATCACAAAACGGCCAGTACTAATTACTATCGACCTACTTTTTTAAGACTCTGTTGTCAGCGTCTACTCCCCAGATCCCAAGTTTTCCTGCTGCGATTCTTTTGAGACCCGTTTTATGTGGTTTCCATGATGAAAGGGTTGGCTCCCCTGAAAAAGGAGAAGTCTTTAAAAAGATTAATTATAAAAAGTAATAATTAACTAGTTTTACATGATTGTACTATGATTGATCTGTGGTCAAGTAGGTGCAAATCATAGCTTGGTATAAAATTTTGATACCAATAACAATAGGTATGTAGGTATGGAACAATAATCATAAATTTGTCTGTTTAAACATAAAAGAATTCAATGATTCACACCTGAGCAGGAAATACGAAGCTTGAAAACATCATCATTAGAGTTGGAACCCCAAACTTCACCCTGGTAAGTATCAATCTGTTTGAGACCCCCTGGTACCCTGACCCAGCTCGTGCCAGCTGGTGCTGATTCAGTTATCCCGGATCTGTAGAATATGTTTCCTGCTGAGTTGACTCCAAACACTATGTTGCTTCCAGTGGAGATCCAGCTTAGCTTCCCCCCAATATGTTGCCACTGGATGATTCGGTGTTATTTGAGCTTCAAATTTGAAAAATTACTTAATACTTTATTCTCATTGCACCACAAATCATGGTCGCTGTTATGGCAACTAAATCAGGTTATTTTACATGCCATAATAATAATAATATGTGTACGTGGTGGTCCTGTTGAAAGATTTACTTTTCTTAATTCTTCTGCTGAGATCTGTATTTACTTACCCCAGTTCCCTGAGAATCAGGATCTCCGTAAGTACCAGTTCTGTAGAAGATATCATCGTTAGTATTGACTCCCCACACTCCTGACTGTCCTACACTCACTACTTTTAGTCCACCTGAGACTCTCTCCCAAGTATTTCCTGTTCTTCTGTAGATATTATCCCCACTATTTACTCCCCAAACATGATCATTATCACTAACTGAGATCTGCTTCAAACCACCTGAAATTCTAACCCAGTTGCTCTCAGCTTTTCTTTTCCAGATCTGGTCTGCTTTGTTGACTCCCCAGATTTCTGTTCCTCCCACAGATAGATCTGTTAATCTTCCAGGGTACTGGTGCCACTCTTTACCTTTGCTGCGATAATAAAAAATCAAACTCATAATTACATTTTTTGAGATGGTTTTTAAAGTCTAGAAATGTTCAAAATGTTCAACGACTCATCAAGAAATAAGAGAACTTACCGAAAGAAGATCTGATCTTGCTTATCTATGCCCCAAGTGCCTAGTTTTCCCTTAGACACTCTTATCAACTTCATTTCGTCTTTATGCTTCCATGACGAAAGCTCTATGTTTGCTGAAAAATAAAAAGCGACTTGTCACAGAGGCCACTAGTTCAGATTCTTGCAAGAAAATATTCGAACAATTAAAATAATAATATGATATTATGGTGTCGAGGTTTTCGATTCAAATTCTGGGTTTAGATTCACAAGTTCTTGCTAAGAAAATCAAAAGATATAATATGAGTTTAGATTTAACACACTCACTTACCAGCAAACGCTGCGAACACAAACAGTAAGCTAGCTAGATGCTTTAATTTCAGCATCACACAAGCTCCAAACACGATTTTGTCCACGAATGAATCTTCAGACCCTAGAATCCTGGTTATTACTGTTAGATTATAATGCGGGTTTTTCGTGAGGGATTTTGTCTATTGTAATCGTCAGATCACTAGATAATCACATAGAATAAATGTCAAGTTGCTGTAATTTTGTTATAGACTGGGTATAGTTTTTTCTAGCTGTTCTATGCTCCACCCCATGAAACCCCGGTGGGAATTGCCACTATTTTGTTTTAGATAGCAGCTGTTAACAAACTGAAACATTATTAACGGCTAACACCCTGCGAGGTTCATTACAGCTTTCGGCTTTTATCAACCTCAGAATATAATATAATAACCACGTGATCAACTTTGAATTACAAAATTACAATCATTACCATCCTCAGATTGACACAATGCTTACATTTTACCAATTATTAGCATTACTAGTATGACTTTAGAAATGATGGCACGGAAGGGTGGGTGAAAACATACTGCAACAATGTAATGGTAGAAGAGGAAAGTCCAGGCCTCAAACTTGTTCTTGTTTCTTCCAGGTAAGAGAGAAAGGAGTATTGGTACATGCATTTTTAATGAGTATTCTTAAATATTCCTATTTCTACTATAATCGGAATAACTATAAAAATCTACTTATTCTATTATATCCACAAACTATTTTATGAGCAAGCAGTGGATGAGATTTAATATCATCGATCATTCATATTCAATTTCATCTTAAAACTGAATTGTAATGCGATTCACAGTAATAAATGTAATATTATCTAATCCGCAGATTAAAGAATGCCTCATCGGTTATATCCGCGGCTCAGAGTGATGTACTCTGTATACACTACAAATTTGACTCATGTTCAACCCAGTCTATTCTTGGTTTGTTACTCTTTCGAAACATTCTTAAGTCTGTAGATAACTCTACAACATGGCATGTTATAAAAACTGATCGAAATTTAATCATCATATTAAAAGATTAAAGTCTATGATAGAATATTAATCAACATGATTTCGCAACTGTTGATAAATAAACTCTTGTCCCTATTCCAGACATGATAGAAGAGCGGGCAGCAGAGAAGCAGTTCACGTCACTAGGACTCGTAATGCACTCCCAAGGAGGAGGGTTAGTGATATGTGGCGGAAAGGACAGGGAGAAGATACTGACAGCTAATAAAGTGGAGTCAGGGGACAATGAGGAGTGGCAACTCTTCTCTACTCTTATCTCTAAATATATCAGGTTCGTCTCTTCTCTATTTCTAATCTCTACTTATATCTCTAGATATATAATCAGGTTTATCGTTTCTCCAGAAAAGAATCAATCCAAGATTTGCCAACTCGTGCTTTGTAATTTAATATTTCTTTAATATTATATAGTCATGCAGATCGCAGTCTACCCACTATCATATGATATCACTATAAAATATAATTTAACGATAATCTAGAACAATTTGTTAGCGACAAGCAAAGTGTAACGAAATGTTTCACGCTTTAAACGTTTCGAGTTAAGTTTCATGATTTATTAGTTCTGACGACATTATCGTATTGTGTTTTCAATGCAGTTAAATTGTGAGATTTTTAAGTCGGCTGGCCGCGGGCTCAGAAATAGGTAGTTAGAGATTTCATTTCCGTGATTTTCCGTTTAAGATCACCAACAAAGTTTTGGGTGAATATATTGATGCTTTTCAAACAACGTTAGTACAACGAATTCTTTATACGTAGTGCATCCTGGGTTTGGACAGGAAGACAATATGCCCGTTTAAAACATTTCCATCACGTTACATTACATAATTCTCAATAAATGTAATAGATTTGTAGTGTTGTAATTAGTTTATGTTATCTATTTTGTGACGCGGAGAAATTCGTCGTATTTCGATAGCTTTAAAATCTTAATTTTAATTAAAAAGTAGCTTTAAAATCTTAATTTTAACTAAAAAGTGGCCATTAATAACAAAATAACCTCCTCCCCAGTTCGGGTGGCAGGCTGGATATAATCGCCACCTCGCTGGTGAAGCACCAAGAAGGAATAGCTCTGCTTGACAAAATAAAACAGTCGCTTCCCATAAACGTTCAGGGCTGGCCTTCTTTTGTTGAAGACGAAAATGGAATGTGAGTATTGTAACTTAATTTATGGTTTTAAAAATATTAAAATGATTTGTCGCACTCTGTTTCAGTCGTTGCGGCTGTACGAATACAATACGTTTATGTATAATATCCCTAATATTATATATAGTCCAGTCATTTACGGACATTTTTGGGTTAGTACCTGCAAATTTTCAGATACCCACGAAACTTTGCACAGACCTTCCCAAAGGTATGATAAAACGATTTTCGGTTGGAGACATTTTTTTAACTTTGGGCAAAACCCAGGAGGGCCACGCCCATCTGACCCAATAACGTAACTGACCCCTTGCTTCTGAAGGTCGTAGAGACTTCAAAATAGGTTTAAACGAAGCCGCATATGCATGTTTATATAAGAGTTATTGATCAACACATTGCCTAAAATCCTTACTTTTCGAGAAATTCGCCAAAAACCATTTTGGGCGTGGCGCTGAGCCGATTTTACTAACTTTTGATAGGATTGTGATAGAGTCTTTGGGTAGAGTGCAAAAGAACCGCAATTGGCATATTTATATATGACTTACGAAGAAACATATGCCTTAAAGTGCTTACTTTTTCAGTTATTGGCGAAAAACTGATTTTCGGTTCCAGAAATCATGCAAAAATATGGGTATGTGGTAAATTGGGCTATGAAGGCCTTAGAGATTTTTGAATGAGTGCAAATTGTGCAGAATGGCCATGTTTATATACAACTTATGAAGCAACATGCACCCTAAAATGCTTACTTTTCGAGTTATTTGGGGGAAAAACAGAGAAAATTTGCACAAAATAGAGCAAAATTGGTTATATCAGCCATTTTTGCCTCCCGTTCTATGTTAATAACTCGAAAAGTAAGCAGTTTAGGGTGCATGTTGCTACATAAGTTGTATATAAACATGGCCATTCTGCACAATGTGCACTTATTCAAAAATCTCTAGGGCCTTCATAGCCCAATTTACCACATACCCATATTTTTGCATGATTTCTGGAACCGAAAATCAGTTTTTCGCCAATAACTGAAAAAGTAAGCACTTTAAGGCATATGTTTCTTCGTAAGTCATATATAAATATGCCAATTGCGGTTCTTTTGCACTCTATCCAAAGACTCTATCACAATCCTATCAAAAGTTAGTAAAATCGGCTCAGCGCCACGCCCAAAATGGTTTTTGGCGAATTTCTCGAAAAGTAAGGATTTTAGGCAATGTGTTGATCAATAACTCTTATATAAACATGCATATGCGGCTTCGTTTAAACCTATTTTGAAGTCTCTACGACCTTCAGAAGCAAGGGGTCAGTTACGTTATTGGGTCAGATGGGCGTGGCCCTCCTGGGTTTTGCCCAAAGTTAAAAAAATGTCTCCAACCGAAAATCGTTTTATCATACCTTTGGGAAGGTCTGTGCAAAGTTTCGTGGGTATCTGAAAATTTGCAGGCACATGTCCATAAATGACTGGACTAATATATATATTTAATCGGCAAAATGAGGTTTAAGCTATTGCTAACCTCTATCAAAAATAAAAACTTCAATCAGTACGATTAAGTAATTCATTTATACTATAGTGTCAATGATTCATAATAGAGGTCCCTGTCGCAATAAAGTAATATAGTACGGGACCAATGACCCTGTACATACAATAAATATAATTCATATTTCAGATTGAATGCTATGTATTTTGATCCACTGAAACTTCAACATGAGACGGGTACTAGACTGTTCCAGCCAACACTAGCTGAATTTGAGAAGGTAATAATCCTGTGATTTAATCATTAATCATGATGTTACTTTCTTATTAAGTTATTAAATTTTCTAATTAAGTTATTAAATATAAAAGTGTGAAGTGTAAAGTAGCGTGACCTGTTGATTATTATTGTAATTAGTCTTTATAATCACGCTATTATTCTACTGTCTTAAAGTTAAGTTAAACTGGAACGAAAATTTGTACAGTAGCTATTCACAATAATGGCATTCCATTCGAAATGACAAATTTGGCACAGTAAATCTCAATGATTTTAGTTGTATTTATCTATAGTGTTACTCTGTACTCTGTGACTTAGAATTTATTCCGTTATAAATGATATTTCAGCTATCTAATACCTAAAATATGACCTATATAATTGTAGTTGTACACACTGTCACACTAAGGTCTACTTAGTAAATTCTTGAAAATGTGACTCCTCTCTAGTAACTCTTCAAACTTCTCCCGTCCTTTTGAGTTAGTTAATCTGTAGGTCTATAAATAAATATGGAGTATGTTTTCAAGTTTATTTAATATAATCACACTATAGAACCCAACATTTTAGATACGCACAGTTGGAAAGGGAGCGTATGGAGCAGCAGTTCTGTACAGAAAGAAGGATGATGACTCTCTCGTCATCCTCAAGGAAATCAACATGCATGACCTGAGCTACACTGAGCGACAACTAGCGCTAAACGAGGTGACCTTATACTTTTATAGTGATGATTTGTGTCCTAAGAATGGTCGTTGAGAAGGCTATTGCCCGGTTATGCTGTTATAGAGCGGTTATAGTACGGTTCCTGACCGGTTATAGTACGGTTCCTGACCGGTTATAGTACGGTTCCTGACCGGTTATAGTACGGTTCCTGACCGGTTATAGTACGGTTCCTGACCGGTTATAGTACGGTTCCTGACCGGTTATAATACGGTTCCTGACCGGTTATAGTACGGTTCCTGACCGGTTATAGTACGGTTCCTGACCGGTTATAGTACGGTTCCTGACCGGTTATAGTACGGTTCCTGACCGGTTATAGTACTGTTCCTGACCGGTTATAGTACGGTTCCTGACCGGTTATAGTACGGTTCCTGACCGGTTATAGTACGGTTCCTGACCGGTTATAGTACGGTTCCTGACCGGTTATAGTACGGTTCCTGACCGGTTATAGTACGGTTCCTGACCGGTTATAGTACGGTTCCTGCCCGGTTATAGTACGGTTCCTGCCCGGTTATAGTACGGTTCCTGACCGGTTATAGTACGGTTCCTGACCGGTTATAGTACGGTTCCTGACCGGTTATAGTACGGTTCCTGATCGGTTATAGTACGGTTCCTGACCGGTTATAGTACGGTTCCTGATCGGTTATAGTACGGTTCCTGACCGGTTATAGTACCGTTCCTGACCGGTTATAGTACGGTTCCTGATCGGCTTTAGAGATTGGCAAATAACCCGAATTGAGAATTCCCTCTGTGAGCATCTCTGCATCTTTGAGTCTTTAATCTTATAATGTCCTAAGATATTCATATTAGTTTTTAGTGATTGTCCCTAGCACTGAGTGCTAGTAGCACTCACTATTTACATAATATCATAATATGACATCACATCAATATCATGATATAAAACAGCAGATCTATATATCACTGCACTTGCAAATATGACTGCAGAGATAGCCTATAGTATTGTACGTCGTTTAAAACTCTAAGAGGCACCCCTCGGACGTGATGATAGACATTACACAAGCTGTGACGCAATCTCTTATCACGTGACCAACACCACGTGCTTTTCAACTCGACTCTAAATACATTATATTCTCCTTACCACGTGACTTTATCTGAGTGTCATGTGACACGTGTTCAATCCCAGCTGGGGGCATGCTGTTGTATCTCTGATTAATTAAACTCTGACTGTCATATTATGTGTTATCACGTGACGAGCATAATAGCATTTTTCTGCTAAAAGATCCACAATATAATATGTGTGGCGGATTCCACAATCCACAATCCACATCATACATTGTGAGCTGAGGAAGCTCCCTGATAAAGTGCTTAAGTGATAAGGTGATAAGAAGCAACTCTTAGGTTTTTAACTTTTTAACTTGTTATCGTGGTAATACTGCATATTGAGTTAAATCTTAAAACTGATGATCTAAATATCATTTGACTATAGCAAATAGTATAATAAATAGTATAGTAAATGGGTAGTGGGTATAATAATAATAGTATCGTCTGACTGCTAACTGTCTGACTATTTGACAGGTAAAAGTGTTGGGAATGCTCCATCACCCCAACATAATAGCTTACTATGATAGTTTTGAGGAGGATGGACTTCTCATGATCGAGATGGAGTACGCCGATGGAGGGTACGTTCAAACTCTTTTCTGTATTCTTGTATTTTTTCAAGCGTATTTTTATATCATATTATCTAAGTTCGTTGGATTGTTTCTGAGTTTTCATCGGCTCAATTTACGATTCTATATTATCTGAAGATCTGACTCGGACCTTTTGTTATTATCTTAATAATGAAATATGCTTAACCAGATTCTTTTGTTTACTTTCACTAAAGTTGCATGCTACAGATCTTACTCGTAATTCACAGAGATCAGCTCAGTGATCTACCACGAAATGCATTAGTTACACTTAACTTCTGTAAACATTAGCACGTCTGAATTTATTTCACTCGGCACACCTTTCTTTACTTCTTTACTAAAATTTCTCTACATGTGAAAATAGCGCACTATCCTTGCTTCTCAAATTTTCACGAATCCAAGTTTTTTGTTTCTAATGGCCTCTCATGCAGGCACTAGATACGGAATTACTCCTTTATAAAATACTTTATCCGTTAACCACAGTACATTTTAGTTAGCACTGATACATGAGTAAGTATCAGAGAAAGTAGACACGACAACATAACTAGACCCGTACTTTACGGGCTCAATTAGACGGTACATGTGGTCATTAAGGACCAATTACACCGATTACGGGAGCTGTACATCAGATCAGTATAACATATCATTTTATCACGAGGATGATGCAAGTGAGGTCACTGTACCGTTTACACTGTACGCTGCAGTACTTTTATCAATATTGTATTAAATACAGTACAGAAGAATATAATATCAAAGTGTGTGTTCTGATAGAAAAGATAAAACGTGATGATGCCGTTTAAAACATGAGGTAGATTGTGTGCTTGAGATAAGTCTTTAAATCTGCTGTAGACTGTTTAAATTATACGGAGCTTAAAATCTTGTTAAAGGCAACAACGGTGGAGCTAGAATTCGTGATTTTTCTAAATTGAACGATGATGTTGACGGATAAATGGATCGATCTTTCAAAAATTAGACCATTTCATTGGTCGCAAATTAAATCCTTGCGTTTTAAAATCTAGAGTTTAAAATTCGTTGTCAATGACTATGAGCGCAACTGCAATTGAAACACGCTTAGAGTGGGCTTATCGGACGTTCATAATTTAAGAGATTCATAAATTTGACTGATATAATACATATAATAACTAAAATTAACTGTTAAATAGGTCAGAATTATTTGTAAATTAACATCCACTAACAAAGTGATGACTGCTGGTGCGATAATTGTTCCAAATAACACGTTCATTAAATCATGTTTAACAGTACATGAGATTTCTAGTAGTTCAAGATTTACCTGACCTAATTTATTAATCTAATATATAATCAAACTTCTGACGAATAACTCTATAACTGTAATATATTTGAACTTCTGGGTCCGGATGAATCTATAAGTTTAATATTTTTGAGTTTGTGACTCCACTATCCATGAAACGATTGTAATACTATAATAATAATATATTACATATTCGAGCTTCTAAATCCACCACCCTTTAAAACCCTAGCTAAATCTATAACTCAATAACTGTTAGTAATATAATAACTCTGATGCCACTTTCTCCTAATTATATATTAAGTTATCTAAGTTGTTATTAAGTTATGTAATATATTTAAAGAATTAGCCTCTAACACCACTGCCTCACAGGACCCTAGCCCAGTATCTAGCCACCCAGGAGGACGATATTCCCGAAGACCACATACTGACCATGTTTAGACAGATGTTAGAGGCGTGTAAACATCTGCACGATCACAATATCCTGCACAGGTCAGACGAAAATACTTGGAATGTTTTGAATATTTCAAGTACATTAAATTAAAGTATTTTAGATATTTCAACTGTAGGTCTCTCATATTGTGACCATTTACAAGTGTGCTAATGGTCGATAGCTTACCCTATTACTGCACATCAGTGATTGAATGTGAAATCTTTTATTATCGTTTTTCGGTGATTTTTTATTCAATTTTCGCCCACATGATACGTACACACATACCATTTGGATTCCTGAATTAGGGAGTTTGATTTAGAATTGCATGTTGCGACTTATAGACTCTACTATAGAGTCTATAAGTTATAGACTATACTATAGAGTATAGAGTCTATAAGTTCCAATGCTGGATGATCTAATATTGTTGGTAGATTTGTATGGCGAATGCGAATGACTAAACAGTTATGCATTGACATTTGACATAATATTATCATGAACGGTTACTATCGAAACTAAGTATCGAAACAGTATTATATACATTATATATAATAATATATGCTGGTTTTATAACAAATAACTCTAACTAGGGATTTAAAGGCAGCCAACATATTCCTCACTAAAAACGGGATGATAAAGCTAGGAGACTTTGGAATATCCAAGATACTGGAAACAAAAGGAGCCTCGACAGTCCTGGGTACACCCTACTACATCTCCCCGGAGATGGTAAGTTTTTAGTTATTATAAAATGCAAGTTCTAAACAAGGGATAGTTAAAAAACAATGTCCAAGTCTAATCTTTCCCTAAAACAAATAACTAAATATCAAAACGTCATTGTAATTTCTGCCATTACCTCTTATCAATACCACAAGCTAAATTACGAAGATAATACAGATCAAAAATATTTTTCATAGAAATTTTGTAGTTATTTTAGTTATTTTTAGTATTCATTGCCAACTTTAATTAATATTGTTGCATTGTGCGGTCCAAATGTGTTTTTGCAGAAATCTTTCAATGTTTGTTATATTTTGATTGGAGCGGCCAAGACGGTTGAGGATTTGGCCTCACACTCTGAATGCTATATTATTATGTGCTTGCCAAGTAGAAAATAAGAATTTACATGAAGTTATTGATTTATAAGTAAGCATATTTGAGCCTTTGCAAGTATTCACCTAATTCATCAAGATTTCATTATAAACATTGCCTAAGTTAATGTAGTCGTTTGCTAACTAACACATAAATTCAAAATAATACTGAAAAAATATACTAATCGTGAAATCTGTTCTACTTTTCTAGGTCTTAAAAAATTATTTACAGTGCGAAGGTAAGCAGTACGGTCCTAAGAGTGATGTCTGGGCTCTGGGTTGCATTCTTTACGAGATGGCAAACAGAGAGAAAGCTTTTGAAGGTTCTAACTTACCAGCTCTTGTAAATAAAATCATCAAGGTAAATTACTGTTCATTAACTTTATTAAGGTAAAGTGTTCATAAACTTTTTAAAGGTAAACTGTTCAGTAATTTTATTAAATTAAACTGTTTAAGAATTTAAGAATTTTCTCACCAAGAACTTATTTGATTGTCAGACGTCAGTTGATCAACCAATAATAATAATTGATAGCTTTGCTGTATCTCCATTATAAAATATCAGAGACTTTAAGTTTAACTTACCAATAATGCTCTCAGGGTCACTACAAGCCAGTTAACAGTACTTACAGCTCTCACTTACGGGAAATAGTGGACGTGTTACTGACGACTGACCCAGACAAGAGACCTGGAGTTGATATAGTCCTTAACCAGGTGAGATATGAAGGTTTAGTTAGGGTACTCTGAAACAACCTGTCTACAGAGCTGATAAACGCTGTCTTCAATCCGACCAGAGCTGTAGCTTAAAAGTTCCGTTTCCTGAAATATGTAAAGAAATATTATATGCAACATTAGACCTGGTTGTAAATTAGTAAAAACTATAATATATTCAAGGAATATCCTTTAAATTCCACTCCCCTACTGACCTGTGTATCTGCAGGTATTAGGACTGGTGCAGTTCTACCAGCACCGAGAAAGAGCAGCAGAGAACAGACAGCAAGTGGTGAGGAGTATGATCTACTTCCTGGACACTTCACTGCTCACCCTCTGTCCTATTGACCTCCCTCTCACCTGTATCATCAGAACAGTGAGTAACTCTCAGTCAGTGAGACAACTCTCTGAAGAGTTAAATCTTAATTGTGTGATCAGTGATCAATAAGTTGAGTTAATAAATCTGGTCTGCTTACTGTTTACTTCATTTGAAGGACCACTGGTTTGCATTCTTCAGTTTCCATGTATGTGGTTATGACTGGCACATTTGTTGGGCCCTTTGATTTGTTCCAACCCAAATAGTTTTGTTCCCAATTGTATCTATTCTTACATTAATTTAACATTTATTCCTACAGTAATTCTCTCAGTAAAGCAGTAATGATAATCTGTTCAGGTGAGCGTTGGTAAGAGTCACATAGTAGCAACTACAGAGCTTCACTCTACATACAGCTGGGGAGAAGGAGGGTCTGGACAGCTTGGTCATGATAACACTTTATCTACTCATACCCCCACATGGTTGGTTAACAAGTTAATAAGTTAATAAGTTAATAAGTTAATAAGTTAATAAGTTAATAAGTTAATAAGTTGATAAGTTGATAAGTTAATAAGTTGATAAGTTAATAAGTTAATAAGTTAATAAGTTAATAAGTTGATAAGTTAATAAGTTAATAAGTTAATAAGTTAATAAGTTAATAAGTTAATAAGTTAATAGGCTGATAAGTTAATAAGTTAATAAGTTAATAAGTTAATAAGTTAATAAGTTGATAAGTTAATAAGTTAATAAGTTAATAAGTTAATAAGTTGATAAGTTAATAAGTTAATAAGTTGATAAGTTGATAAGTTAATAAGTTAATAAGTTAATAAATTAAGTTTATAAGTTCCCCACTCTGTTGTTTGTGGCAAGGCTTCCCTGGCCTCACTATAAGCTTATATAATAAGCTCATGTAAGCGGTAGATCTGTGCTAATCACAACCAGAGTAGCTGCATTTGTCCCAATCAGAATAATACTGACACCCGCAAATTGTGCTGGGTGATGGTGGTGGAGAGTTATTGGTTGGTTGGTTGGTTATAGAACCCTTTATAGAACCCTTTATAGAACCCGTCCCCAATTGGAAAATTACTTGACTCAATTCCGAGTGTGAATACAGGTGGTACCTGCAAGGGTATTTATTAAGCATTTAATGGTGGAGAGTATTTGAGCGTATTTAAATATTTGATAGATCTGTAAACATAGTACGGTAATAATACCAGCATCTGTGGAGCTACTGGAGTCTAATTTGTTGGTGGTTAGATAATTTTAAAATATAGACTTGGCGGTATTTTGCTTTGTGATATTTATTAAATGCGAATCAATTTTATTTTTTGTTTGTTTTTACACTTACACTTTTGTTTTTACACTAACTGTGAAATTTTACTCATTTTATATTATAAAACATCCAAGAATGATATAGACATTCACCATTCAGTTATTAAGTCGCATTAGTTTGTATTCAAGACCTCCAAACGTATACAATTTATAAAGTTTAATATTAGAAAGCTGATGACTTCGAATACTTACCGCATATTATAATATAATAATAATATGTTATGTGGAAATTTGCCAATGGACATTTGCCAATGAACATTGCTTGATATGTATCATGAACAATTTTAAATGACTAAATTCAAATTATAATGAATATTTCTAGCTTGAAGCTTAGTAGACCACATTATAGTGAGACAGCCTGTGAGCTATCACAACATTATTTCTTCAGTTTATAATAATCAATAATCATCTCTCAAAATTATTAGAAGATTGGAGTACTAAATTTAGTAATACATCCCCAATTTATTAACACAAATGCAGTTCACAATTAAGATAATATATAATCAACTCTTATCATTACAGCATAGACGCGTTACAAGGAAAGTTCGTCACATCCGTAGCATGCGGAGACAACTTCACCCTCTTCGTAACAGACAACGGTCTCCTCATGTCCTGCGGATCCGCGGCTTCTAAGTGTCTCGGTTTGTCTCTATTAAATGTATCAGTTTATGAAGCCAGTCTCGGAAGGGTGTCTTTGAAGTCTGAATGATACAATTCATTGCCACCTTCCCTTTTGGCCCCCGTACCAATGTTCATTAGTTTCAATATTTAAGTGTTAATATCTTACATAATACGGCTGAGGCCGGTCCTTTATTTCACTATATTAGGCCGTGCCAAACATTTTATGAACCATTCATATATATACACTAATGAACTCGTTTGAACCAAATCGCACTTGAATCTTTGGATTAACTTAAAATCTGCGATATATTTTTAGCCGGGTTGCCAGGGTAACACAATCTCGACTTAGGCCAGACAGATCAAACGGAGGACGTGCTGAAGCCCAAGTTATGTGAAACACTGTTATCTACTGACGTGGTGGCGGTGGCTTGTGGGCCTGAACACGCTGCTCTCACCACTAAGAGTGGGGCTGCGTTTACCTGGGGATGTGGGACAAGTGGGAGACTTGGCCATGGGACTAACATTGACAGGTGTGTGTTAGTGTGGAGATTGTAACTTTACTGGGGTACTTTTAGCTGTGGTAATTTGGGATAATTGGGGATAAGTTTAACTGTAATTTGTTGATATTTTATATGCACGTTCGATTGATAATAAGATAATGTACCATGCAGTTTTGTTAATGATTTAGATTAAGTTTACAGAATGCAGAGCTGCTAATTTGATATTTCAATTCTGAATTCAGTGTTTCTGCTAAGAAAGTACTAGAGCATCTAATCTTAGTTAACAATCTGTAACATTGTATTCAGGGAGCTGCCTACACCAGTACAGTTTAACGAGGAATCAGTCTCGGTACAGAGAGTACGATGTGGTTCTGACGGTACCATGTTCCTTACTGAGGACGGTACATTGTACGCTTGTGGCAGGTAAATATCTGATGGTACCATTTTCTCACTGAGGGCGGTACATTGTACGCTTGTGGCAGGTAAATATCTGATGGTACCATTTTCTCACTGAGGACGGTACATTGTACGCTTGTGGCAGGTAAATATCTGATGGTACCATTTTCTCACTGAGGACGGTACATTGTACGCTTGTGATAACAAGCACTCTAGTCGATAAAACAATCAATTTTTATAAATTATTTTTTTGGCTCAATCAAACAATATCGTTTTATACACAATATTCTATCAATAATGCAGCAAATGCGAATATGGGTGTTCATCAAAAAAAGGTCAAATCAGCAAAAGCTTGAAGATGTGAAGGTAACTGCTTAACATGGGATTTGAGAGTGACCTGATACCACCTCAATCCTCAGCTCAGCTACTTCAATAATAAATATTCGCTTAAAATAATTCAGCTAATAAACAGTAAACATTTAAACAAACTAGCACCTAGATATATAATATATATACATGATGAATGCTGGGTGACCAGTAAGTCAGAAAAACAACCAGTAAGCCAGTAAAACCAGACGATGTTGATCATAACGCCCCTACAAAGTGTTAAATCTGAGAGCTGGCTGAGAGTTGATTAACAGTAATATATTATGATAAGTGCACAATGCAGGGCCGGGTTCAGACATTGAGACATTCTCACGTTAACAAAACCTATTTATCTTGGAGCATTGGATCATCCTCATTAGTTCATTATTTCAGTATTTTATTTTTCTGCGTGTTTTTTTTTTATAGATTTCCATTCAAATCCAATTTTAATTATCCTTGAAATGATTATTGAGTCATTCTCGATGGTCTCAAATGACTACATTGCATGCGATGTTGCAGTCTGTTCAGACTGCAGATCTAGATACCTCGTTGTCTGGGTTAAGGGGGCCGGGGCCGGGGGGGGGGGGGGGGGGGGTCTTCATCAAAATTCTCTCGAAATTGACTAGGTAAGTAGTAGTGTAAGTAGTAGTGTAAGTAAGGTATTTACAAACAGTCTCCACTTACTCCAGACTGCTTGCATTGCTTTCTTGTAAAGCTCGCTGTGAAACACAGGATTCAGGAAGCTGTTAATCGAGATCACCACGAGTGCAAATACCTCAAATACCATCGGAGAAGCCGGCTTCTTGGCGATGCATTGGAAGTAGAGAACGCTGATAATGAATGGAATCCAGCAGCCGAGCTGTGATCCGATCATGAGAGCCACTTTAAGGGTGAGCTGAGTACTGGCGGAGTTATTCTCGTCTTGTTCTGCACCATCTGGAACAATAACCCTATTGTACCTCCTTTGTTTTAGAATGATCTTTATGTATGCAGTGCTGACAATGCTAAGTAGGACCACGAGACTTGTGCAGTAGAGGATTTTGTAGATCTCATAGGAGTCCTGGGATTTGAATATGTTGTGAACACAGAAACCTGTATTCCCATAGTAGCTGATCTCCTCGACATCAAAGATCTCCTTATTTAGTTCCTCCCAGATGCGTTTTTTCTAAATTCTGTGGCCCACTCACTTCGCTCGCAAGTTTGCCTTTTTTTCTGTGGCCCGCTCGTTTCGCAAATTTTTAACACTGGACCAATTCTCGAGCAGGGACGTAGCCAGGTTTTTTCTTTCGGGGGGGGGGGGGGGGGGGGGGGGGGCTGTCGGCGAGCAAAGCGAGCTGACTCGTCCAATCCAGCTGCGCTGTGGCAGGGGTCCAGGGGCGGAGCCCCTTGGCGGGGGCTAGGGGGCGCAGCCCCCCGGAAATTTTTTGCGAAATAGGGTGTTTGAGACGACATTTGGCATTAAAGAAATTTGTAGGACAGCAATAAACTGGGATTGAAAAGAATCAAGTACTCACGTAAATTTGGTAACTTCACAACAGCAATCTGCATTCTCCAATCAGAATATTTCACTGTGTTCCAAAACTGACAGGATGTTCCTCTTTGATTTTTATACAATCGAAAAGTTTTCTCCAAAAATTTCCTCAATTAATTTGTCTCAATTAATTTGACTCAACTCTTTATTCCAAAAAAATATTTCGAAATTTAGGAGTAACTTCTCAAAAATATCCTCTTTTTCCTCCCGTTTTTTCCTTAATAACACAGACCCACTATCAATATCAACAGGCCCACTATTTCATCTTACACTTCTTACAGACCTACAAGTCAATTTACAGACCCATTTCAGAGTAGCAAAGACCCACTATTAAGCGAGTAGACACACAGTTGATTTAAACAACAGACCCACTATCAATATCGACAGGCCCACTATTTCATCTTACAGACCTACAAGTCAATTTACAGACCCATTTCAGAGTAGCAAAGACCCACTATTAAGGGATTAGACACACAGTTGATAACAACAGACCCACTATCAATATCAACAGGCCCACTATTCCACCTTATAGACCCATGTAAGTAAGTCTACACTGTAATAAAACACATCCAAGCTATCAACAGGCCCACTATTTGAGCATGTACAGACCCTCATTAACCATGGTCAATTCAATCCTAACCTCACCCCCCCCCCCCCCCCCCCCCCCCCAAGAAAATATGTTTTTTGTTTTGTTTCAGACAATTTTAATTTTTCGATGAAAAAATTTGAGGCAAGGGTGCTGGCACCCTTGGCACCCTACAAAAAAAAACCTTAGCCTCTCCTCCAGCTGTTCGAGGATTTTAGACACTTTTGTAGCTGGACACTCGTCATTCTCCTCTTCAACACCGAACACAACAACTTCTTTACTTCTGTCCTCTTCCTTGACGATCTTCTTAACTGCTGTAGCGATCTTCTTCGGTGATAGAGCAGTTGAACAGCTCTCCTGCAGTGTTGAGCAACTCTCCTGTAGTATTGAAGAATAAGACTTTATCTCCTTCTGAACTGAATGCTGAATGATTGCTATATCTCTATCTTTCATGGTGATAACTTTATTCTGCAGAGTGATCATTGCCTTCCATCAGAAATATTCTCTTCCTGCAAATCTTCAATCTTACTTCTGGCAAAAGACATCATCGGCAAACAAGTCTGATGAAGAAGATAAATCGCCGTATGCAACCACTCAGCCATCTGGGCCTTTACAACAGAGGTCTTGTTTAACATATCAGGTTCAAAATCCCCAGGAGGCATCATGGAGCCGGTGGGCCCGACATGATACGACATATCTTGACACGTCGGGGTTTGTCGGGATTTGTCAGGGTTTGTCGGGGTTTGTCGGGGTTTGTCGGGGTTTGTCAGGGTTTGTCAGGGTTTGACGGGGTTTGACGGGGTTTGACGGGGTTTCCGGTTTGTCGAGCCTGGAGGCTTTTTTTTTTGTTTTTTTTTGTTTTTTTTTGAGTCTCCCAACAAAAAGCCGAGACGGAGTCATCAAGCTTTGCGTGGAAAAACACTATACAAGAAGGCCTCATGTAGCCGGTGGGCCAGAGGCAAAACCCCTCGACAAACCCCGACAAACCCCGTTTGTCGGGGTTTGTCGGGGTTTGTCGGGATATGTCGGGGTTTGTCGGGGTTTGTCGGGGTTTGTCGAGCCTGGAGGCTACATGATGCCTGGTCATCACAGTTATATCTGTTATAAACTTGACACATGTCGTTTAACAATGAATTACATGATTTCTGCACTTCCTTCAGATTATCCTCCCCAAAAACTTCGTCAGACCCGATTCCCTCCTCGAATATTGTCTTCAAATACTTGTCAGCCTGATACCGAACAGCCATAATACAATGTGCAATGTATAATCCGAGCTTGTATATCCGGTGTAACACAGTAACAGGGTAATCCGCACAGCGTGTAATTATCAAGTAGAGATAAGCAAGAGCGACTAAATTGCAACGGCAGATAAAATGCAAATCACATGCTGTGTCGGCCATTATTTCAGGTGCATTTATTCATTATCCTGTTTATATTATATAGCTAGAAGAATTTGTATCTGGACATTGGTGAGAGATGTAGTTTATACTAGAGTTTAAATTAGTGTCTCACTGAACACTTACCACAATTTTAATACCACTGCAGTACATGATAGAGTAAAGAAGCTCAATTCTTATATGAATCAATAATTGAAACCAAGTTTATCTTTTATTAATAAACACAGCATAGTTTGTGAGTTAAATTTGTACTGGAATCAATACTTAATTAACACATAGTCTTTCTTAATGTAAACAGCAATGAATCCCAATACATTTAAGAAACAAGAAATAATTACTGTTTTAATTATATTATATCAAAAATACAGCTTAGTTAGTTAATTAAGTGACAAGTGTGCACATGGAATCAATATTCAATTATATTAATTAATACATATATTCATTCTCGATAATGTCTCATGATATTAGCACAGTGTTTGAAATCACCTGATAATAATCGTTCCATCTCTTCTAACATTGTATCAGGGTGTAAACATAGCAAAATTGAACAGTAAACTCTAGCTCGAGACATGGTTAGGTACAGATGAGGCAGGTCACTTAAATCTTCATATTTAACTATACCAATGACAGCTGGCCATTCTCCTGAAGAAGTTTGTGAGCTATATAACAAGGGTATCTTAACAGCAGACTGTTCACTCCTATATTTTGCAACTTTTATTTCTACCAAATCATAAAGTCTGTCTGTGATGTCACGTATCACAGCTGTATTTAACGGTGTACTAAGAACATTTTCCCGCTGCAGCTTGTCTAACTCTTTATCTAGGTAAGTGCCTATCAAATCAACATCTCCGCTATTAAAAACATGTATGTTGATTTTCTGTCCACGAATGTAATGACCTGGTTTTTGTGTAACGATGGTCTCATTTGAATGACGTGATCCTCTTCTTCGTCTCATTATTTCTTCTTCTATTTTGTCCCTTAATACTGACAAACTATTCGATATATCGTATGTGTTTCTCAAGTTCTTTGATAGAGTAATTGTGTGAAAAGGGGGGTTTGATTGTTGAATAGATGAAGGCCCTAATATACACATATAATCCTGTGCCGTGTCATGAGCTATCCAGATATAACGGTTGCCCTGATTAAC